AAACCCAGGGTCTTTGGCAGACAGCCGGTCAACGGTCAAACGACCTCCCATCGTCACATCTGGGTCGCTGTGCTCGACGTTCTCCGAGACAATCCGCATGGCGAAGTTCGTGTGGCTGCAGCTCAACGACGCAAATCTAATCCACGCCGTGGAGGAAGGATCCCTGAGCTTCCCACCAGCTTCCTCCTGAAGCTGGTGGTTGAAGCTTCTGACCACAGTGTCATCGGATTTGAGTTCAACGCAAACTGGCTTGCACTCTTCGGGGACAAAGCCAAGTTGAGATATCTCAGATACCAGCCTGTGGGAATCAGCCCAGGATACTCCCAAACCGTCACGGTTCATGTTGTGAACGCCGATGGCGCTGCAGTGGATCCGTTGGGAGTACACTAGACCTTCTGTTTGCAAAAAGTCGAGCACCTTTCGGACTCTCTGCGCAATTCCACCGCTTTTGGACGTTTCCTCCAACGCCCCTGCCACAAACTTTTCAACGTGGGGAGGCAAAGCCATTGTGCCACCAAAAAGCGCGTGCGATCCAAAAGTGTTTGGTAGCTTCTATAGAAGCTTGAGCTAGCACGGTCAATAAAAACAATCCCTTGACTCACATTCTCATCTCACACAGGCACAAACACCATTGTTTGTCCACTGGAAAACAACACGTCAGAATGCCTGAATCAAAGAAACACTTGACATTCCTACAAGAAGAGACACAACCACATCTTCATGACTGCGCAATTGCTGAGCTGCCATGCAGGCTCTGATGCCCGGTTGCGCTGAAAGCTTTTGCTGCAACTGCAAAATGAAGCACCAAAAGACAAGTGCAATATGACCACAACAATTGTTTGGCAGGATGTCGTTATGTTTCGCTTCAACTTCAACATATTAGTTGAATGAAGGCACCTCTCAAAGAGTTTGCTACCTCCCTCTCATGTATATGCCAGCCATACATTCGATCTTTACTGAACGGTTTCAAGCTTTGACTACCATACTCATCTCCTTAGCCATGAGATTTGGTCGGCTCTCTCTTTCCTAAGTACTCACGTTCTGCAGAAGGCCTTCTTGGAAGAAGAACACAACAAGCTCAACAAGACGCCACCAATACCTGGGAGGAATCACCTGCAATAAAAGGAAACTGGTGATCATCCTGCAAGAAAGCTTTGCCTGATTCAACGAGGAAACAACTCCATCCACAGCATCCATGCGAGAACACCTGTGCTTCCCTGCGGTGATGCTTGATCACGCCATTGTCGTCACACCTGCAAAACAAAGTGTCAAATTCAATTGCAATGGTAAAAAGTCACGCGCCACAGGGAATACCTCTATACAGGCCTCTCAAAAATTCAAAGTTCATTGAATACATCTGTTTTAACTCACATGCACTCTTTCGAAAGGAGCTTCATACTTCAGCTTTGCTAGCAAAATGCCTTTGAGATCCATATTTTTTTACAAAACTGCCCATGTGTCATCGAGTAAACTTGAATGAGCGTCTTTTCAGACACAATGACTTGAATCAGAATCTTTTCAGACGCAATGACTTCAACCGACACTAGTTGGATCATTGGTATTCTATGTGTAGTTGCAGGGCATGCGTTATTCACATGCTCGCTGCAGTTTGGAAACTGCCTACAACAGGGCAATCTTTCTGTACTCAAAGAGTCAGGGTCTAGTCGAATCACTGCTGGACAAACGATTCGTGCTTCAGCTTCCTCAAAATGGGCATGCATGACAATGGTGTCTTGCCCCTCACACGGTGGGAGACCGTGAAGCCTTTCGATGGATTGATGTACTTGGTGTTGAAGTTGATCGGTGAGTTGGATTCGGTCTCAATGATGGTCAGGCGCTGGCTCGTGTGGATCCTCTTGGACTTCAACAAACTCTGGCGGACATGATGGTGAATCTCGTGTCCTGCAAGACTCAGGTCAGCATCAAAGGCCTTGGTCCACACCAACTCCCGATTCAGCAAAGTATACGCCGATAGTTCCACTTGGCGGTCTGCCTTCACCTCATACCCGCAATGAACACCAATCACGTGGGTCGGTGTGGGCCGGATGAAACACACCCTTTGGCTCTTTACATTCATCCAGCGCTGGCACCCGTTTTGGAAGGAGTCCAAGTGTTTGAACGGCATGTAAGCGCCTGAGTTCCCTAAATATATCGTTGACTCATTGTTCGCCAAACGCTCCTCCTGCGTCGGCGGCACCCGAGTCCACTGGCTGTTGCAACGACCATGGACACAGTTTAAAGTAGTCGTGGCACCCCCAAATGTCATCTCCCATGCTACTGACGCCATGACAAGTATAGCGAGCAAAGAGTGCCCTGCGACAAAGAATCAATGCGAGCCAAATGCTTTCGAGAACCCCTATGGCATGCTCTGACTTGGCCACCCAAGTTGAGTGGTTTGGCCACCTATCCATATTGAGTTTGACCATTCGTCCCCACAGAAAAGGAACATTCAAACGTGGAACGAAAAATCCATTTGCAGGGCTACCAGTGCAAGCGCAAGAGAAACATCACTGCGGTCGAAAACAATGCTGCGCCAGCCGAACTGGCATTCTCGACCAGGCCTCCGAACATTCGCGTTTACTCTGCCTGTAAAGCTTTGATGCTGACAGAAACAGCAAGCAACAGGAGCGAGCCCTGTAAGCCCTGCAAAGCAAAGCGAGCCCTATATATAAGCCCTGCTTATCTTGCGATGACCTCTATAGTCACAATGGTTCCAAGTGTACTGCAGGCTGTAATCGAATACAATGGCATAATTACAGTATAATGCAATAATTGACTGTCCACACAACATGAGACTTGGAGGTGGCTCGCCTGCACGGCTCCTGCGCAAAAGCCTCAAGCATTGCACATCTATGTGAAAGCAATGAGATGTTGATACCTTCCTTTCAGAAAGCCACAACACAAGGGTGCAGCAAACACCAAAAAAAACATGGCCCCACAACCATGCTGTTGATGTGATGCTCAACCAGCTGCGCAAAACCTTGCGCAGTAAAAGAAAGAACACTGCCATCAACAACTACCATCAGTACGCTTGTTGCTGCCATCAGACTGCGTCAACGACCATGCATACTCCCTATAGCAAAGTGTCTGCGCATCTGCGCGCTGAGCGCCGGGCCTGGATCCGTGCCCACAAAGTACTTCCAGCCAGCGTCAAACATTGCCAACTGTAGTTTCTGTGCTACGAGGCCAAGTCAAAACACCGTTGCCAAAGAGAACAAAACTTTTCATCTTACGAACAAACGGGTCGTGGTCCACCCACTAAACAAAGTTCTTTGTCCAAAGCGTTACTGAGACCTTGCATTTGATCATGTGTCCCTATAGAGTTCTTGCCACCAAGAACTGACAGGTCTGAAAACGAGCTCGTCAAAGAAGACACACGCACTACTAAGAGTTTGCCCTGCTTACTCCCACCGCAAAACATTTTTTGAGTTTACTTTGGTCGACCCACATGCTCAAGTCCACACGGATAAAAAACAACAAACAATTTAGCGATCACAAACCCGGAAATAGAATAGATTTTTTTTGAAATGTTGTTTTTCCCAGCCATCCTTGGACAACTTAGAATCATATTAGACAACATGGGCAAGTGCCCTAAGTCCACTTAGTCGATGCGCTAAGTCCACTTAGCGGACACTGCTAAGTCTACTTAGCGGGTTTGCTAAGTCTACTTGCCAAGTGCGCCAGGTTCAACTTAGTACCTTCGCTAAGTTCAGCTGGCTATATCCGCCAAGCTAGTTGCACGTCAGTTGCATGTTAGCCATCTGGATGACAAGTTGGCCACATACTTACAAGAAGGGCCGGTCATCCAAGTGCAAGGTGACCTGTGGGAAGTGTGGTGCTGAAGCACGGGTATAGGGATGCCTCCCAACCATAGCTTTCCTCCGGCCGAAGTGGACAACAGCAGCGTGGGTGCTTGGGCTGACTTGCCTCGCACTGTTGCAAGCCTGTCCCATTGCTGGTCTTCGGTGGCTGCTGTAAAGCTGGCTGGAATTGGTGGCATCGCAAACCTGGTTTCTTCTGTGGCTGATGGCGGTGCAGGTGATGGCTCGGCTGCTGGGGTGGCAGGCGCCGCGACTGGGGCACTCTCCTTGACCTTCTTGGCTGGTGCTGCAGGAGCCACTTGCTCGGCGGATCGCTTCCGCCCTTTGGCTGCAGCTGGTGGGACGCCCTTGATGATCTCGCCTGCCGGTGGTGATGGAGGCATTGGTGCAGCCTTGACTTCCGCTGGTGCAACCACTGTGAGGTCTTCTGACTCTCGGCTGGCTCGGCCGGGGCTTCAGTGGGAACCGCAGGCTCTTGGGCCAGGGGAAGCAGGCCCTTGGCGGCAGCTCGCTCCTCCGTCAGGGCCCGACGGGCGTAGCAGGTCTGCGCACTGTGGGAGCCGCCGCATGCCCGGCCTGATTGCAAGACAATGGCGCACAAATGCTGTTCAGGGCATGGATTACGAGAGCAGCTGTCCGTCTGGAAGTCGGCGCATAGAGGTGTCCCATTGCGCATGAACTTGGTCAGCAACTTGCCCTTGATCGCGGCTGGCATTTGAGAAGCAGCTGCCGCTGCGGCGGAAGCACGGGCTGCTCGGGCGGACTCCCTGGTCGCTTGGCTGAACTTGAAAGCTCGCTGCACTTGCTCAGCCGGGAGCTTGCCCTGCCACTCCGTGTCCATGTCCTGCGACACCAAGCGATCCACGGTCGGCATCACGAAGGCCTTGGCTTCCTCCAACTCGGATGGTGTGATGACGTCCCAGGATTGGTGCTCTCGGAGTGACGCTCCAAGTTGGTACACCAAATGCTTGACCCGCATCGAGGTGGCTTTCTTGCCTCCACTGTAATGCACTGGCATGGCCGCTGGGTCCGGGAGCGACGAGCGGTCTTCCCAGTCTCCCAGTGCATTGAGCTCAAGTGGACCCAATGGTTGGCCCCATCCGGCGCCAGGAGTACGAAGTGAGATCCTTGGCGTCTTGCGCATGTCCTTCAAACAGCTCTTGGCAGCATCGTTGACATTCAGGAAGTGCCCACCCGACACCAAGGGCTGAAAATGATGCCGCAAGACTCACGCTTGCCAGCGGGTACCGCCCGCTTCGCCTGCAACATAGCTGCAGCCCAACCAAAGCCGTTGGCGAAGTGTGCTGGGACCGTCCATGGAAAGCCGCCCCGCTTGGAGGACTGTTTGCCCTTCTCGCACCAGAGGTGCAATGTGCTCCGGGACAACCGCACAGGCTCAGACCTTAGCAAATGCTGGTGCCTCATCACTCCGACAGCTATAAGCCATGACGACAATAGGGCGGACCACTTTGGATTCGACTGCTCCCAGCATTGAGCGATGGCCTGTTCCAGGAAAGGCAGCATGGGAGGCTCAACCACGATAGCCTGTTGCTTCTTGCGTTGCCGATTGGACTTGGGCGTAGGGAGCACGATGTTGGTCAGGTTGAACTGCAAGGATCCTGCTTTGCTCAACCACCGCAATGCGTTCAAGGCACGAGATGGGTCCTGTCACGAGCTTTCATGAACGTGCGGAGTTCCACCCAAGTCTTGACCGCGTTCAGGATCGTGCTGGGTTCGGAGTGGGTAGTCTTCTCCTCGGCCAGCCGCATGAGGGCCCGCTCCCACTCTTTCTGCGTCCGCTCGTTCATCACTGCATGCGGTCGCATCACCCCCACTTGGTGGTTCGTTTTTACTTGTGGCACTTGCAACTTAGTTAAGACACTTATAGGACTTAAGCAACTTGTAAGTAGTACTTAGGGAACTTAGGTTTTATTATTTTTTTATTTATAACCGTAAGTTGTATAAATTACTTGTAACTAACTTATAAGTTCTGTAAGTTCCTGGACGACCAAAAGTATAGTCTCAAACAAGTTTTTTTTAAAAGAACCAAAAAAATAGAAAAAACTAAATTTTCGTCTTGAGATGGGCAGGCAGCTGTGAGAAAAACTAAGTGTTCGTTTGCAGATCCACGTGCCTTCGTGTCAGACCACATGAAGCGCAGCCATAGCAAACACTCCCTCAACACCTCAAGCTGGAAGTCTGCATCTTTCTCAAACCAAGGCATGAGAACCATGATGTTGGCCACTCCGAACATGTTCTGCGCACAGGCTGGTCATGTCTACCAAAACTGCTCTTGTTCTTTGAACTTCAATGGCAATTGATGTTCAATGATTGTTTCTTCAGCTTGATTCAGCTCAACCCTTTGAAAAATATACAGGGGTTACATATAGGTTGGCTGGTGGTCAATTGATGGGCTAGATCTAGGTTGGCTGGCGGCCCATTGGGCCGCCCAGATGTGTTGGTCAATTGATGGGCTAGATCTAGGTTGGCTGGCGGCCCATTGGGCCACTCAGATGTGTTGGCTGGCGGCCACAGTGGAAAAATACCATATACTCTAGACTCTAGACCTTATGCAAAGGGTCCTGTACCAAAAGTACTAGTCCTTGAAAAGCAATGCATCAAACATAAACCTTGATTCATTTGCCATTGAACCATTCAAAACAGAACTACCATAGCTTCACCTGATATATCTAAATATTCGGGTTGCTGACCAACAACTTTCACACACATAAAATTTGACTAGCCGATTGTTTTCACATATCACGGAATCACAAATGTATAAAAATGTATAAAAATGTATAAATCAATGCGGACCTAAATTTATACATGTATAAATCAAAAAATATCAATTTATACATGTATAAATCACCCCATTTTCAATTTATACATGTATAAATTGATAACGAAATCGATTTATACATGTATAAAAATGTATAAAAATGTATAAATTCAATTTCTGAATTTTAAGCATTTTGCTTGTCATGCGATGAGCTTTTATCAAATAGAATTCATTTCTCAGAGTTGCCAACCCCACCACCTCATAAGTTTAGACATTCCCTGACTCCCTGATTTTTCTAAAAAATCCAGGAGTCAGGATTAAGTTTTGCTGATTGAGAGCTTTGCTGATTGAGTGCAACAATGCTTTTTGTTTGCTGGCCTTTGCTGGCTCCAAGTGTGCGCTGCTCATGCGACGCGTCCTCAGCTGCCGCTACTGCTGAAGATGGAGCCTGTGCAGCCTAGGAGGATGACGCATGCGGAGCAGCTGGAGGCAATGCGGCCACCTTGCGGGTTTTGCATCCTGGCGGACGGGACCATCCTGCTGTCCAATCGGCCGGAGACCTACACGGCGGAGATGGTGGTTGATGCCTATGAGGCATGGCGAAAGATGAAGGCAGATGGCTTAGTGCGTGAGACCCGACCTGCGGCTCCAAGAGCGACATCCATCATCTGCTCAAGATGGCACGCGGTTCAATGTATATATTTTTTTGCAAGAGACACAACCTGCGGCTCAATGAGCCGCATGTTTTTTATACAGGAGCAACATCCATCATGAGTCAGCCATGACCATGACAAGACGGCATACGGCTCAGTGAGCTGCTTGATGAACACGCGATCGGAGCATGAACTCGATTTCAAGTTTAAGAATCAAAGTGCGAAAAAAACACGATTTGATCAGTTTTGGTGTAAATTAGAAAAACTTGAAATTGTATATCTCAAAAAGTTAAGTTCCCTAAGTTAGTTATAACTTATTTTTGACTAGTTTTTGATAATCTAGATATAGAACTTAGAAATTTCTAACTTTTGCTAACTAACTTGCAAGTGTCACATCTTAACATAAAAACTTGTGCTAGTTACAGAACTTGTAACCCCTTCGTAACTAAGTTACCAACCACTTACAAGATACTTACAAGTTCCCTAGCCAAAAATGAACCACCAAGCAGCTCCACAAATGTGTCCTTGAGGGCCTCAGCGCGGCGAATCACATTCCCAGGTTCAAAGGCACCGCCCGTGAGGGTCACTCCCTTGGTATACGGTGCAATGCTGGTTGCCTGCTCAAAGGAGGACGACGGTCAGATGATGAACCCTGTCCCGCTTCGACGGTGTTGGCCGCATCATGCAAAAGGGACTGTTCAGCGGCTGCTCGGGCTTCAAGCCATTGCACAGCTAGGGCTTGGCCTCCTGCGCGAACTGCATCCTCAAAGGACTCGAAGGCGTAGGCCAGGTCCTCATCTCGCTGCAAGCCGCAAGCCAAAGTGGTCACGCAGCTGCCGAGCGCGTTGCTCCTCGACCCGCGCGTTGGCCCGCTCGGGGTCCTACCCCGGCATAGCCCCAGCCGCCTCGGCTGCATAGCGCCCATCGAACGCCATGGCACCAGCTAAGATTGCAGCGCTACTCCGAGCTAGAGCTGCCCATGCAAAGCGGACATTGGAACGTCCAGACGCAGCAGTCCTCGCACACCGATCGATCGCAGGACAGACAGACGGACCACGTGGGACAACAACACATGAGGCAGTAGGGAGGGATGAAGGGCTCGTCGATCTCGGTCGCTCCGAGAAGGTGCCGAAGAAGCGCTCCGGCTTGGATGAGCTCGGCTTGCCCAGCCTGAGGACATCCGACGCGGGTTGGCTCCCGCCAGGCACAGCGTCCCGCCTGCCAAATCCTGAAAACGGCCACCGCATGGCTCCAGGGAATGCCATCCCTGTCATAGGCCAAGCGGGTGAAGAGCCGATCAACGTGTGCTGGCGAGATCGCTTCTCGATCCAGTTGGCTGCGAACCATCTGCAGCCCCAAAAGGTCGAAGGTGGCCGGATTGGCATGATAGGCATCCCATGCACTCTGCGGTGTAGCGCCGGTTTGGACCACAACGGCACGACGCGTCCAAGTCCCAACCCAGGGTAACCGGAACCCTCCCAGGCGTCGCTCGCACCGGGAACAGGGGACCTCTGTGCATGGGATGCGTCGAAGGGGAGGCATCGTGGGGGATTGGAGTACCGCTCCAGATGGTGACCCCACATGAAAGATCTCGACCACGGACTCCCAGAGCACCAAGGCGGAATCCCGCCTCCCAGCAGCCAACATGGACTCGATGTGCGCCGTGAAGTCCAGCCATGCCGCCGGGGTAAGTACCTGCAAGTCCGTAAACAGGGCAACATCAATCCCCTCCCTGACCCTCGCTGGCATGAAGTCTTCTGCCAGGTCACTCCTGAAGAAAACACAGAACCTGCCAGTTTGGATCAGACTTGAGCCAAAATGGACACAGGTTCTGAACTCTCTATGGAATGACAACTGTCCACCCAAGCCTGCCAGACCCTAAGACAGTCATAAAATCTGCTATATTAAGGGGAGTTTGCAAACAGCTAGAGCCTACCGCCCTTTGCAGTCACTTCAATAAGGCTCCATACTACATCATCCTTGATTTATCTTCATCAAAGTTCAAAACTACTTGTCCACAGCATTTAACGTTTAAAGCATCAATTTCTAAGGGCAGTTCTAATGAGGAGGCCCGACCAATGGCCAGCATAAAAGGAGCTGCCTGTGAGGCCGTGGCGCCAAAAACAACACCTTAAGCTTCCCTAAAAATCTAGGAACCACATGAATAATGCAAGAGCTTCTTCAAGGAAGCTTCCCCCACCGCCTTTAGGGCGGCGGGGGGGAGCTTCCTTGAAGAAGCGTGAGCTATCCTGCGTTCTGTCAGCAGTAGCTACTTGTAGGTAGTAGCTACCTAGCTTCTACTAGCTACCTACCTCTAGCGGCCAAAACAAAAACACACATTGTCCCTTTTGCGCTGAGCACATTCGGACCTGAGAGTCCCAAACTTCTTTGTCCTCGCTTCCATAGGAACAGGATGCAATCTTGAGACCAGCCATGTAAGAACTAGCTCCTACCATCTCCTACTGAATGCCTATCCCACACACTAGTTTCACAGTGAATGCTGCTTGATCATTTGCCCATCGTTTGCATGCATTTAATGTCTTGCACCCCGTCAGTTGCCTGGAACGCATTCACACAGACTTTTTAAAAAACAGGCATCTGTTCGCAAGTCAAGTGCAAGAACCAGAAACAATATCAAAATACATTTTGCAGGCACTCTGAAACATCACCATGGTCCAGTGTTTCTAGCCAAACAATCGTAGTTAATCATAGCACACAAGTCTGCCTTCAATGAGGGCCAAACATACGCAGCATAAATTTAAATACATGTTATGTTATTTTTATGTATTATGCTGTACATACATTGTACATACATACATCATTGGCGGTGACCATGCTGACCCAAACCCAAAGAGGTGTCCATCGCCTTTCCACTTCCCCACCCGGCACAAACCTCTTGGACATCGGTCTCTGCGCTGAGAGTTTCCACATATTCTGAGCAAAGCTCCTGCCAGAACTTGAGACTGACCTTGGCCAACAGTGACAGCTTGCCACTGATAGAGGAAGTTTCAGACCCTTGTGCGCATTCTGGTGGCGGAATGGTATCCATTTCCCAATTTGTGCGCAACAAAAGAACAGCGTCAACGGCGTCAACAGCGTCAAATGGAACCTATCTACAAAGATCTACAGATTATAGTGTCTGGTTGGCAAAATCAAAGATGCATGGGCAAAAGGAAAAAGGATTCCCTGCTCAGCCCCATTGATCTGCAATGGCAACAACACCAAGGGATCGGACAGCGGGAGCAATGCAAATAGCGCGCTCCCAATGGCCAGCCTGTGGTATCCGAAACTGCTGAGAACCCACACTCTCATAGACTTGTTTGGAGTACAGCAGCATTATCAACTTGCTGAATAAACATGATTCAAAGTACATGTTCTCACCTCGCAATGTCCT